TTCTCCCATTCGATTTTACTTTTTAATAAATACTATCTGTGCTACACGTGTGGTTCAAAGACATCTGCTCGCCACTCGTTCGTATGACTCTTCTCCTGTTAATCCATGGAAGTCGATGACTTGATAAAAAGCAAACGCAGTATCCTGAATGTTCCAAACGCTGAGCAGCAACAGACTCTTCATCGTGCTTAATTGCTTATATTTCTTCAGAGATATCGGACAGCTGATGACCAAATCCTTTGGCGGTAGTGCCCCATAAAATCGTTTCACACACAGTGGATTCAGATCCAACTGTTGTCTAGACAGTGGTAGGTTGGGATCGAAGTTCTCATTGTTTATGTAAATTCGAATGTCATCCGTAGAATGAGGCCAGGTGAAGTGCCAAGATAAATTAAATGTTACATGAGTACGATTGCTGCAATCGACTTTGGGAAATTTAACTTTCTGCCATCGATTCTCTCCGTATTCGTCCAGCTTATAAAATACCGTGTTGTTTCCGCTGGCTATCTTCCCATCTGGCGGACTGTTCGAGGCGTACGGAAATCCTTTGTACCCTTCCACGCTCTGCGGCTCGTACATGACCTGTCCACAATTTTTATTTATTCTGTTTTGACACAATTTAGCTCGGCTGGGAGGTTGAGGCACGTACCCGTGTCTCTGAACAATTCGATTGAAAACGTTCACGAAAGAAATGTCCGCGACTTGATAGAAAGCGTAGCCCGAGTCGAGTATCTCTACAGTAGTCAGTGCAACTGTAGAATTTCTCGGTTTGTACAAGCTTTGAGCTTCGATTACATTTTTCGGAACGTAACAAGAGAACGAGAGAACGTAATCCTGCGATTTGAGCGTAGTGTTGCTCGGATTGGAGCAGACCAGATCGAAGAAGGCTCTCTTCAACATTTGATCTTCGGTGTAATTGCGATTGGTGAAAAATACTCGCACTTTCTCGACTGGCACGATCCTCTTGTTGAACGTCCATTCTAAATTCGTGACGTAATGGGTGTCGTTGTGTCGCTTAATTACCAATTGAGTGTAATTCCAGCGGCCGATTTTGTGCTCGTCGATCACATCGTAGAAGGGAATGTTGCAGCTGGCGATCTTCCCATCCTTTGGTCCTTGAGTCATGAAATCTGGCCGACCGACCAATGCCCCGGCGGTGGTATTGTATCGAAATACCTGGCAATCCTTGTTGTACTTCAGGAAGCATTTGTAAGATCGACTCAGAGGCTTGGTCAGTATCACAGCATCCAGTACCGTCGACTCGTTCTGGTAAGTCTCAACCCCGTCCTCGTACAGTTCGTTCGAAACGTAATTCAAGTCAGAACGTGCCTGCAGCACCGAGGAATCGTTGGAGTCGATTAAACTGCACAAAATTGCGATCAACACAAACGCGGATATTTGCTTTACGATCGATGACATTTTGCGTAAATTCTGAAGCACTGTGTGTTACGTTACAATTGCGATTTACTGTTCGACTTTGAAATCTCTTAGGAAACTATCGCACGTAAGTGCCTGAAGAGATGAGTGACCATAAGAACTGGCTATCTACTTTTATATGAAAGGTTGAGATTCTTTTCCTGCAACTTATCTTATCATCTGTAGGGAGGAACTAATATCCAGTAATAAAAACATATGAACATATCTTAGAAGAATTATTTTGTATTCCGCGAAAGATTCGATGATACACATGGGGATTGTGTTCCAAATACGAATTTGAGTGAAATATCGGTGGTTAAGAGGAAAAATGAGCTTAATTGAGCAATCTGTTTAGGAGGAAATTTAGACGGGAAGGAAAATTGGTACACAAAACAGATTTGATATCGTAAAACCTGTATTTTATAATACTTGGAAATTTGTATGATTTATATTAC